GGGTACTCAGTGCCATTCACAGCACTTCACAAATATTCATTCATTTAATCCTCAGAATGACTCCATAAGGCAGGTACTAGCACCATCCTTTTTTGTAGATGAGAGATCCGAGGCACAGAGAGGTTAAGCACCTTGCCCAAAGTCACACAGCAGGGTCTAGAGGTCAAGCTTTTTGCCACTAAAATATGTTAACGGGGGGCCTCGCTGCCCCTCCTGGAGACAAGTTGGGGTCAGGGCCGGCAGATGGGAAGATCACCCTCCAGGGCAGTGGGCCCTGGCTAGGGAAAGGGAAGTCTTCCTGCTATGATGGGGGCTGAGGTGGAGGGGTGCCGGGGTGGGGATTTGTGCAGCCTCTCTGGGGCCTGACCAGGAGGAGGAGGAGGAGGCTCGGTCCTGTCCAGCCTCCACCCGGTCCCTCAGGGCCATCCTAACAACCAGAGGCAGTTGGAACATTCTGTGGCTAGAGTCGCAGGGGAGGAGAGCTGGTGCAGCGGGGAATCACTGTGGCTTCCTCCCGCCCGGACCAGCTCATTTGCATACCCGACCAGCTCATTTGCATACCCCGCAGGGTGTGGCAGAAGTGACAGAGCAAACACTAAAGTAGCAGGCACTGCTGAAGTGCTTCACTTGTAACAGTCCTCGCCATAACTCTAGACGGTAGGGGCTATTATCACCCCCATAACTGCATCAGAAGAAACTGAGGCACAGGACAACTGCCTCGTCCAAGGTCACATAGCTAGGGACCGGTACGGGTGGGATCTGAACCCAGGGAGTTCAATGCCGGTTTCACTTTGGTGGCTCAGAGCGGTGGGCAGTCAGAATCCTCCCTCTGGGTTAATGTAGTGTTGTCCTCAGCACTAAATGAGAAAGCAGTGCCCAGTGTCCGGCACGGAGCACTTGACATTGAAAAATGTTCCACTGCTTCCTCCCAACCCTGATATTCCGTGGCTCCCCAAGTAGGGGCTGAGCTGGGCATCTGGACCTGTTCTCTCTCTCCAGACTGAAGCGGAACTATGGCAGGGAGAGAGGAGGGGCTCTAACTGGACCCTTCAGGCCTACTGCTGTTGCTTTCTGTGGCCAGAAAGGGGGCTGAGGGGAGCAGGGGAGGGAGTGGGTGGTTTGGGTAAGACTCGGGATCTGTTGGAGTTGCTGCTCCTGGCTCTGGCCTGATGCCCAACCGCCTGGGGAACTCACTCAGCAGACACAGGCAGGTGCCTCACCTAGAAAGCAGAGGTGGGAAGGAGGGCCTCAGCTACAGAACTCTGGCTAAGCTGCCCTGGATCCCACCCCGAGACCCACAGTACCAGGTTCTGGAAGGGGCTTCTCAGGCTCTAACCCCACCCCACCCCACCCATAGCAGGGTCACACTTCACGCTCTTAAGCACCACACAGTACGGGCTCTCCCAACACTCTCTTCCCCTTTCATGGGGACAGCAGAAGCCCTATGGTCTCCCCAGACTGGCTATGGGGAAACTGAGGTGGCGTTACCACCAAGGCTTAGTGGCCTGCTTGCCAATGCCCCTTTTAATAAGAGCCAATAGTTAATTGAGCACTTTTTATGTGCCAGACTCTTTCCTAAGCCCTATTCATGCTTTAGCTCACTGAATCCCCCGATGACCTTGAGGTAGGTATTATCTTTGTTTTCCACAGGAGTAAACTGAAGCACATCGAGGATAAGTAACTTACTCGAGGTCACACGGCAGCTAAGTGGGAAACCCTGGCAGAGTCCAGAGCCTGGGATCTCAAGCATGGTGCTCTGCTATGTCCCTTGACCTCGGGCTGCTATAGATATTCATCCAGGAGGATGGCACATTCCCTTCCAGGGCCATGCCCAGTGGCTGGGGCCCAGTGCTGGCCCCTGGCCCCCGGCCCAGCCACTTGGCAACACCCATTGGTTTCATTAATGTTTAGGGAATGTCAATAGTTTTGAGTGACTCCTGCATCTAGGCTCCTACCTCTCCTGCCTGACCAAAACCTAGAGCGCCTTGAACTCAGTCCTAGAAAGTTAGAGCAAGGAGGAAGCTTATAGCAGAGAGAAACTCAAGTCCAATTCCTCTCTGGACACATGGGTAAACTGAGGTCCAGGCAGCAGCCCTCCCCCAAGAGTCCTCAGCAGTGCCTGGGCCTAGGGCCTTGGACTTTTGCTCCTGAGCAAACAGGACAATTAAAAAGGTTTTTGTAGCTGAATCCTTCTAGCACAATGAGGGGTCACAGGCCGGAGCCCATAGTAAAGGTGGGGCCAGGCTGGGATGTTCTGGCCACAGGGATTCGGGTTCACTTCCCCACTTAGCCCCGGAGGGATACTGCTCTGTGCCTGTCCTAACTTGGCCATGGTGGAGGCAAGGAACACCCACGTGTGCAAAACACATACAGACGAAGGTCACCTGCTGAGCAAACATTTTCCGGCCTCCACTCTGGGCTTGCAAAGCCAGATGCCTGCAGGAGGGGCCAGCAGGTCACGTAAATGAGTGAGCAGGCCAGAGGAAGCCCCAGGTGGGCTGGAGGGCAAGTGCCCTTAAAGGAGGTGATTCTTCGGCTTTGGCCTGGGGATGCCACGTCATCTGATTCAAGAAGATCCAAAAATCAGAACTCGTCTATGAAATCGTATGTTGTTTTCAACACTGGCAACAAATGCAAACACAAGAAAACGCTATTTGGATCACCAGAATGCGTCTGGAAGCTGTATTTTACCACAGGTGCTGTACAATGGGCTGGCCTCTAGGACGGACAAAGCCACCGCAGCGTGGACAAGACAGACCTGGGGTTCCGTGTCCTGGAGCCTAGGGTCTAGATGTGGAGACAAGGTCTCCCAGCACATGAGGACATGTGCTACTATCTCCAAGCCGCCAACCATCAGCCAGTCCAACTCAGCTCTGCACTCTGGGTCAGGCCAGTTCAGGTCAAAAGGGAAGTTGGAGGCAGAAGGCTGCTCCTGAGCCATCCTATGGCCGGGCTTCTCAGGTTGAGGGACCAGCCCTAAAGGAGGGAGGGAGTCAGAGGGCACCGAGGAGAGGAGCCCAAAGTAGAAGATGGTGAGTGAGGAGCGAGCTGATGGCTGAGAGGCCCGGGTTAGGGCCACGCCACAGAGGGTTTGGACTTGTGCTTTATTCCAGACTTAGTGGGGAGCCACTGCAGGTTAATGAGGAGGGGAGATCTTACTTCCGGTCCGCCTCTGGTCTTCTGATGGTTTTCCCTAGTCACAGTGACTCAAATCTCTGGATTTGGCCTCTCACTCCACTCCCTTGCCTGTGGGTCATATGATAAGGCCCTGGGCTCCTGGGAACCCAATGGAAATGAACTCCTTCAGAGAGGGAGAGGACACACCTGGGTGCTCCTCGTGGCCCAACTGTGATCTACATACTGCAGAGTGAGTGGCTCACTCTCTGTCATTTTCTCTGGGAGATGCCACATGCTTGTCCAAGGTCACCCAGTCTTCAGAGCAGCGGGGCTGAGGGTGGCTGCCTCAGCTGTCCTTGAATTTGCAGGAGGGGCTGCCAGAGGTCTGGCCGGAAGCACCCCCAACCTCTTCTCCTTGGTCACATCCTCTCCCATGGGTCAATGCCAGCAGAAGGTGGGGTGGGGGCACCTGGTATTGGGAATGGGGGAGTAGAGGGATCAGCCACCCACGCTCGGGGCCCCCAAGTCTAGAGCAAGAGGAGGACCAGGTGCTTCAGGTGTGGGGTCAGGACTGGTCAGCTGGACCTGACCAGGCCTACCTCCACTGGCCCAACCGCGAGTGGCCTGGGCAAACTGAGAGCAGCCCAGCGTCTTCCGACCCGGAGAGATCAAGAAAGGGGATCTGGATGATGTGGGGAAAAAAAGCCCTTGACTCCAGTGCCTGGCACATCACAGACACTAACTAAAGGTTTGTTAAATAAATAAATGAACAAAGGAACTCCCAGTGGGGCTACCTGTACCAAGTCCTGCCTTCCTCAGCATCACTGCTTGCCTGCAGAGGGCTCAGAGAGAAGAGACTGGGGGAACCCCAGCACCCCAGAGTGTTCCCTCAGCACGGTCCAGCCCCTTCTAGGGATCTCTGATCCAGAACTTCAGGGTACAACATCCCTTGGGTGCTCGTCTTCCCATGAGCTGCGGGGCCTGGGGTTCGGGACCTCACTGAGGGCCGGCCTGGGTCACTGCTGTGTAGAGCCTGGAAAGCTAAAGCAAGGACCTAGAATGGTCCCTTGGTTGTCCAGGACACACGGATCCAACCTGAGGTTTGGCCCTGGGTATTATGGAGATCAGGAGGAGAAGGGAAGGTCTTGGGATTGCTGGCCCCAGGGCACATGGGGACAGAAAGGTGCCCTGACCTGAAATGGCTTCTTTGTCCAGACTACCTCTCCTCCCCAGAAATCACTGCCTCACTTTGAAAAGAGCTTGCCGCCTCCTGCAAAACATACGAAGTATGACTTGGGGGAAGCCCCTCCCTGTGGCCTGGGGTGGGGGGGGCAATGGAATCGCAGAGAAAATAGAGGATTCCCACCCATTCTCTCAAACACACCCCTTCCCTGCCCTCTCACAGACAAAGACACACACCCAAAACCTCAGCCATCACCCTAGGGCCACATGCCACAGACCCCCTAACCTGTGGACATCCCCAAATCTTCCCTTCCCAGGGGGGACTTCACTTGAGAACTCAGCCTGGCCTGGGGGGGAGGGGTAAATATACTCCAAGGACTGAGAGTCCAACAGCTCCGGGCTCACAGTTTTTGGAGGGACAGGGGGAGGCTCTCCACCCTCTTCCCCCCTCTCTATGGCACAAGGGGCTCTACCACTACTCCCCCGTGGGGCCCGGGAGCAGCGCCCAAACCCCAGGGCTAGGGTGTGGGGTGGGGGAAGGGAGAGGAGGAGGGGGCGGCTCCTCCGAGCGAGACACAAAGAGACGTCCTTCAGCCTCGGCTCCATGGCGACGCTGGGGAGGGGGCAGTGTGCACCCAATACTTCCTTCTCCACCTGCAGGGTTAGGGACCTCGGTGGCCACTCACCTGGGCCCGGCTTACCTGGGCTGGGGCCGCGGGGACGCCGCGGCAGGGGGCCTGGGCGCCGTCTCGGTTTCCGTCAGCCCGGCCCGGGGGGGGCTCAGGGCGCCACAACCATAGGCTGGGATGCGAAGGGCGCCGCGAGGGGCTCAGTCGCCCGGGTCCTGGAGCTTTGAGGGGGGGCCCCGAGGCTTCTTGCTGGTGAGGGATAGCTCTCGCGCTGTCCTCAGTTCCCTAGATTTGGGGTTCCTGTGTACCGGAACTAGGGGGTCTAGGAACCCCCTGATCTAGGGGCGTTCTGAGCTGGGTCTTCGTGTCTTGAGGTGTGGAGTTGTAATGACCAGGTTCTTGACGGGGGGGTGTCCCAGCAATCCCGGACGGGGGGGGTCACTGCGTTCTAGGTCTTGGGGGGGCCCAGATTGAAGAGGGGGAGTCTTAGCCGTACCGTAGGGAGGTCACTGTCTTCTGAATACGGAGGAAGTCTCCGCTTTCCCCAGCAGGGGAGTCGCTCTCTGTTGGATCTGGAGGGGTCTCCCGCTTTCTTGGGGGTCTCTGGGTCCTGGATGTGGTGGGGGGATCCCCGCGCTCCCAGGCTGCGGGGGCTTGCTGAGTCCCGGCCACCGGCAGGAACTGGGAGGAAGCCCCTCAGCCGCTGGGGGGCTCCGTTGCCGCCGCTACGAGCAGCCCGGCCCTGCGGTCCCGGACCCCGGCCTGGTCCGGGCTCTGGCTGCGGCTCCGGCTCCGGCTCGCGATCCGCCCGGTGCTCGGGCCCCGGCCCCGGCGCCCGCCCGGGCAGCGCTCCATCGCTGCATCGCGGCTCCGCCCTCTGGCCCGCGCGCACCTGCCCGCCTGGCCCGCGGCTCCGCCCTCCGGCTCGCGCGCCGCCGCCCGCCCCTTTGTCCGCCCCGCTTGGCGCGCGCTCTCGCGCACGCGCACTCACCTCGGCGCGCGCTCGCCCTCCCGCCGCGCCCTCTCGCCGCGCGCCGCGGGGCGCAGATTCTCCCCGCGCCGAAGGAGCGGCGCGCGGCGCCCCCACCCCGCCTTCCGGCCGCGCTGGGTCCTAGCGCCCGTGGGCTCCCTTCCATCTTCCCACCCCCGTCTTTTCTAGGTCAGAGCCCACGAGGGGGCGAGAACGAGGTTAGAGAGGACTCGGGGGAGTCTGAGAGGGTCACCTGGTCCAGCCTCCTGGCCCCTGCGGGATCAGACTGCCCCAGACTGTCCCAGTCTGTTCTTGTGGGGTGGAGCATGTGTCTGTTTCAAGGAGGGAAACAGCCAAGCTCTGTTCTGCAATCCCGTTTGCATTCATTCATCCGTCAGTCTGTCCTGTCTGTCCGCTCATCCATCCATCCAGAGCGAGACTGCGGAGAACTACCAGTCTACTCAGGGAAGAGGTCGTGAACTGGGGCCTTGGGGGCCGCGCGCGACCAGACTAGGTCGTTTTTCGTGACCCCCGCTGTGAACAGTGACTAGTCGTGGGATGCAGCTGATCTGCACAGTGCTCACCAGAGAGAAGAGAGGAAAGGGGATTCCGACCAGAGAGAGCAGCGTGTGCAAAGGCACGACCTGGGTGTTAGAAAGGAGCATTGTCGGATGCTGATGTTTGGCGGCCTGGAAGGAAGCGGGGGACATGAGGGTGGAAATGAGATGGAGACCCCATCCTCCCAGACCCTATTCCCCCTCTTTCTCAGACTCCTCCATGCAGCCCCAGCCACACTGTTTCATTAAAGAAAAAGCCCCCAACACACCCGACACCGTCCCTATTTCTTCTTTGTTCAGGCTGTTTTCTCCACCTAGCATACCCTTCCCCACCACTCTGACTGTGTCTAGATCATTTTGAACAAGGGATGGCAGACTCATGTATCTATAGATCACACAAATTAGTGACTAGGGTCAGGCCTCAGGTGACAGGAAGTGGTGAGATGAGGCAAACTGGAGCATCATGGGCCTGTCCCGATGATCTTTGAAAGATGATCTTTCAAGAGAAGCAGGAAATCCATATTCTAACAGAGCGTCTTCCAATTTTTCCATATTTGAAACCAATCCCCAAGTTCGGAAATAGTGAATGGACCAAATGAAATGTGCTTTGGGCCAAATCTAGACCATGGGCGATTATTTTGGGAACTCTGCTTCTGAGAATGTTGCCTAAGTTCCCAGCTTTTCTCCCTCCTGCTTCTGTCTAGACGGTTTTGTTCTAGAATCCAAGTATTGTGGGACCATCAGCTCTGTGAAGCACTAAGTGGATTCGGTTGCTCCTCTGCATAACATTGCCGAGGACGCCCTGTTACCTCCAGGGCCAGAAATCTAACTTCCCTATCCTGGTGTTCAGACCCCGTAGCCTTTGGGGCCTCTACCCTTCCCTAGTGAGGTCCCCTCTGCTCCATTAAGCCTTGACCTTAGCCAGCGTTCCTAGAATATGTGCTTTCTCAGACCTCCGTGCCTTCTACACTTGGTTTCCTTTGGGTAGAACACCTTTCCCCTCTTCTTTGTTCTCCATACAAGTTATCCCCGCCCCTCCCCACTCCAGGTTCTCTTCTTTGTCTGCCTTTCCTCTCTCCCCCCTCCATGTCCTGCCGATGGTCCAGAGTTTCAAATTTCACCCTTTGTTCTATACCTCTCCCAGTAAGGCCTTATTGCCCCAAACAGACTAATGGAGGGGTTTAAATTATGGGGCAGGCAGAAGCAGGAGGCTGGAGAGGGAGAAAGAGGGAAGGAAATGTCTTCCTGTGTCTAGTAACCGAGTCCCAGAACATTCGAATTTAGAGTGCGTTGTCCTCTTGTTACAGACGAGAAAACTGAGGCCTAGAGAGGGACAGGAGCAGAAGCTGGCCTTGAAATGCTCCCAGCCATGGTGATCAAAGGTTATCAAGGCCACCTTCTGCAGAAGTCTTCCCTCATTCCTGGCCTGGGGATTTGATTACCCACAACGCAATTAGAAAATGTTTGCCAAAATGAATTGTGGGTATTCAAGTCTGCCCCTCTGCAGGGTGAGATGTCCTGGTCCCCAAAGGGGGCACACTCTTCTCAGGGGACACATCCAGGGACCCCTTAATGTTTAAGCTGTGGCTGCTGCCAGGGCACTTTGGGCTCCGTGTGTTTGGAACCAGCAGGCAAGAAGAGGAGTCACTTCCTGGCAGTAATAATTGACCCTAATCCGTTACTAGAAGTTACTAGAGAAGTACCCTATGATTAGTTACTAGAAGAAGGCAGGGCTGCTTTTACAAAGTGGGAGCAGGAAGAAATACAGGTGGAAGTCAGTAATCCATTGGAGTGATCCATTGGTTATGATAACCAAGAGTTTAGACCCCTCAGGACTGAAGGGTTGGGTCACACCCCTGGGTGATCCATGGAGACCCGCCAAGTTGAGAGTGTGGATAATTAAGAATGGGTAGTGAAGGGGGAAAGGACCGGTACCAGTCCTGGCCCTGAGATCAAGTACAATGAGGGGGAGGGGCTGTAGTTCATTTCACCAACCACCCTCTTCACAGTTTCCATTTAGAAAGAGAGACTCCTGCGGAGCTGTGTGGCCCGAGGGGTGGGATGTGGCAGTCATGAAAACGCACCATCTAGATCTCTGACCGCCCAGGGCAGCAGCAGTGGAGGCTCTCCAGAGCTCACGGAGAAGGCTGGCTCCACTTTGCTTCCTTCTAGCTGATCCCAGTCAGTGACTGAGTGCCTCGAAGACACTAAAGCGCCCAGTTCCTTAGAGACACAGAGCTTCCCTGATGGGCAGCTGGGGATCAAGGACTTCCCATTGGCTTCATCAAAACTTTCTTAACATTCTTTTTTTTTTTTTTTAAGATTTTATTTATTTATTTGAGAGAGAGAGAGAGAATGAGAGAGAAAGCACATGAGAGGGGGGAGGGTCAGAGGGAGAAGCAGACTCCCTGCCGAGCAGGGAGCCCGATGCAGGACTCGATCCAGGCACTCCAGGCACTCCAGGCACTCCAGGCACTCCAGGATCATGACCTGAGCCGAAGGCAGTTGCTTAACCAACTGAGCCACCCAGGCGCCCCACTTTCTTAACATTCTTATCCCACCTTCCTTCCTTTGTTTCCTCTTCCAAGCATTGGATCTATTGAGGCTGATGGTTTGCCCGGCCTCCCCTGGCTCCCTTCTGATTTTCCTGCCCAAGCGTTTTCCCCAGTAAGATAGCTGCTTGCAGTGTCTGACCCCATCCTTGGCCCACTTCTTGGAGGAGTGAGCCTTCACAATATATCTGAAGAGAGGAACTAAAACAGCTATTCATAACGCTGCATTCCTTTTTCCTTGACACCTGCGGATAATCCACTCTTGATAGCTCAAACTTTTGTATCCAAAGCAATGCTGCCCTTCCAGAGAGGGTCTTAATGGGTGTGATCTGGATAGCAGAACACAAATATAAAACGTAGCTCTGATTTCTATAACAACACAGAAGAAACATCAGAAAACAGATGTCCATTTAGGTTTCCTCAGCCTGGGACCCACAGCCTCTCTGATGCTGGTGTGGACTCACACTGGCAGGCAGTCAGTTTGCCACTCCGTGCTCAAGGAAGCTTGTGGGGCCAGGAATCCATTCCAGGACATCCCTTTGGCTGCATCTTGTGTTCATTAATGTGTCAGAAGTTTCTGCTACTGTTGTGGGGGTTGGGGAAGGAATCAAAACAGAGTCCCTGTCCTCTAGAATATATACATCACGTTTCAAACTATATGAGTTTGGGTGACTACTAGTTGTACTGAAATTGAGGTGTTGGCCATATTGGTAGTCCCTATGCTGGGGAAAAATGATGGCATTTGTGGGGATTTCCCCAGTGTGGTCTATGTTCTGTGATGCTCCTTATTGCTCACATTCCCAGTCATGACAAAGAGAAGGCATTCCTGGCTTGTTGGTCCGCATTACGGTAGTGCAGGAAGCACCCTCTGCCCAGATGGCCACCATCATGCCCGGGCCATCAGCATGGCCAGAGACCCTGGTGGCATTGGTGACTGAGTAGTTCAGAGAGCAGATCAGGTTTAGGAAGTTGAAGACCATGACGACATTCTGAGCAAAGGTTATGGAAGCTCTTCACAGCCAGGAACAGGAGCATCCAGTGCCCCTGGGAGACACAGGTCAAGCTATTGCCAATAACAAAAACCAACAGTTCCACCAGAACGCAAGATGGATCAGAAGGAAGACGGCAGGACAGCCCAGGATGGACAGCAGCTGGAGGTGATGGATCTTTAAATCTCTCATTACCTTTATGGAGAATATATTCT